CACACACACACACACACACACACACACACACACACACACACACACACACACACATACACACACACACACACTTATACACACACATACACACACACTAGCACAGTACTCTGTGTTTGATCCGTTTACACTAAATACAGCGATGAAACAATGTTCTCTGATCGAATCATATTTGTAAGCGGTTGCCAAGGTCACGGATGCTGCCAACTGAATCAGGAAACCATATCACATCCTGCAATTTTCTGCTACCATCGATTATATATTATCAATCATCGCTCGCGTAGAGGCATTAAATAACGGAGAAAGTAGAAACCCACAGAGAATCTACACCCGTTGAAGCTGCTTCTAATATTTGAGCTTGTATATCGTGCCGTATATAGCTTGTATAGGTGTCTAAATTTCTCATGTAAATTAAATTGCGATCACATTCTCTCTTTCTTCGTCTTATTCTTCGTCTTCTTCTCTATCTCTTTCTCTCTTTCTCTCTCTCGCTCATTCTCTATCTGCCTCTCTCTCTCTCTCTCCCTCTCTCGCTCTCGTTTTCTCTCTCTCTCTCTCTCTCTCTCTCTCTTTCTCTCTCTCTCTCTCTCTTTATTTCTTTCTACCTGTCGCTCTCTTTTCCTCTATAGAATTTCTCTCTCGCATACTTTTCTCTCTCTCTCTCTTTCTGTGGTATTTCCTTCTCTCTCATTCTGTCTATATATCTCCGTCTCTCTACCGCTCTCCCTCACACACACGCACCTTCTCTCTATACCTCTTCCCCTCCCCCTTCTCATCCTCCTCTCTCTCTCTCTCTTGCATGCATTCATCCTCACATACATACGTTCTCTTTCTCTCACGTCCGTCCTGCCTACCGAGAGACGTTAAACCGATGGCTTTTGTTCTTGCCGCCGTACATTCACTCCCGCTAGCTACGGTCTAATATAACTCCTGCTTATATTATTGATGTGTGTAAAATAACGGCATGGGCCGTCTCCATGGGACAGAGCGAGAGAGGGGGGAGAACCGGAGAGACAGGCACAGAGAGAGAGAACGGGAGAGAGCGAAAGGAAGATAGATAGAGAGAGGAAGAAACAGACAGACAGACAGACAGACGGAGAGAGAGAGAGAGACACAGACGGGGCGAGTGAGAAAGAGAGAGCGATAGAAAGAAAGAGAGAGAGAACAATAGAGAGCGATAGAGAGAGAGATAGATGCCTCGCGTCGCCGCGCCTCGCACACGGATCCTAACCTATCACCGTAAGCCTCCGCAAATTGTTCACCAATGTTGCACTATTTGGTCTCTAGAAAAGGCCTTTTTTGGCTTTTTGTTCGGTGAAATTCGGCACTAGAGTGTAATAATTTAGATAAATAGATAGATAGATTAGATAGATAAATAGATAGATATAGACAGATAGATTTTTGGGTATTTTTCTTTCAACCAATTAAGTGGTCACCAACTGAGCGCTTTATTTCCCGGGCAACGCCGGGTGTTTTGCTATAGTACGTATATTATATACCTATAACGTTTGTTATGCTTCTCTTTGTAAATTCGTAATTTTTATTGCTCGGTTCTGATGCAGTAATTATAGACATCGACGATAGCATATCACATGCAACCACTTTGGGGAAGCGCTCATGACAGCAATATACATCTAGTAATTTATTAGTAATTGAAGGGCTGCATGCTCTGATACAGTGATGCAAATCTCGAATGGTAAAAAAGTGCGTTAATTTGAGATTCGCACGTGTACGACGATGTATGAATGGCGCACGCGCGCGATAATAATTAACCCTTTGCACTCCATAGGCCACGCCAGTGGCCCACGCTATTTCCGCCGTAGCTCCATAGGCCACCTCAGTGGCCCAATTCATTCTCATTTCCTCTATTGGATGGCACGACTTTCCAGTAAATGATTTTCTCCCAAACTTCACTACAAGCTACTTTGAACATTATTCTTCTATCTAGATGTCACTGCATGTACATTTACCCTGGCGTGTGCCACAGCTGGTGGCAGGTGTGTTCGTTTAGCCAGTCTGAGCCCAAGTTTCCATAGCGACTGTAAGCGTCTGAACTTTCAACAAATATGGCGGCTAGCGGGAGAATGTCACTGCAGGAGGTCCAGGAATTGTTTGATCAGAGCGATTCAGAGGTTGATTCTAGTGACGAGGAAGGTTTTGAGAATGAAGGAGATGTAGATGAAGAGGAAAATGAAGAAATTAAGAGGTGAGAGTGACGAGGCAGAGACGATGAAGGTGAATATATGAAAATATACATACATAAAATATGTAAATTAAAATAGAGAGAGAGAGAGAGCGAGAGAGAGAGAGAGAGCGAACGAGAGAGAAAGAGAGGGGGGGCGAGAAAGACAGAGGGAGGGAGGGAGAGAGAGAGAGACAGAGAGAGAGAGAGAGAGAAAGAGAGAAAGAGAGAAAGAGAG